ATTTTTAACACGAGTGGTCATAGTGTTAGGTGTATATATCGATGCTGATCAGTTAATTCAATTTATAATATATGATTGCTAAGCATATATTGTTGATAGATGTGGGAGATCAAAATCCATATTACTATTACAATAAAAGCATATTTGGCCTTTTGGTGATGCGAGTGAAAACACAGCTAGACTTGTTGAGTATCTTGAGCTGCTTTCCTGCATCACTGAGTACTCTGGGATTTGTTATGAGGAGAGGGTTCTTTCGGTCTTGTTCTGGGCATCTCAATATTTTCCTTTCCTTTTGCAGCACGGATCGGCCTGCTATACGCTATTTCTGGATTTGGTGGGAGTTTGATGTCTGCTCTGTTCATCAAATCAAGTATCTCTGTAGGTGCTTCTGGTGCACTTTTCGGATTGCTCGGTGGCATGCTTTCTGAACTATTAACCAATTGGACGATCTACACAAATAAGGTGATATTGGAGAGTTCTCATTGAAGTGAAATCTATGCTGCTTCTGATACCTTCTGGACTTGGAAAATACCTATAAATTTCTTAATGCTGTTGACATTCTTCTTTCTTCAGTGTGCAGCACTGTTTACGCTTGTGCTCATCATAGCAATCAACTTGGCTGTTGGAGTCCTACCACATGTGGATAACTTTGCTCATATTGGGGGATTTGTTTCTGGATTTCTTCTTGGATTTGTGCTCCTGATTCGCCCCCACTTTGGGTGGGTTGCCCAAAAGAATGTTCCACCTGGATATCTTGCAACTCCGGTCAAACACAAGCACAAGCTGTATCAATACATACTATGGATCATTGCTGCCATTCTTCTAATTGTCGGGTAAGTGATACAGCTAATGCTTTCAATTTACGAGTTCTGGGGTGGAGAATGTTCATAGAATAAACCTTTTGTTGGGAAACCGATAAACTTTCTGCCCACATGTTATCGGTAAGCCATGCAGGTAGTGTATAATCATCTTGATTATTTGTGTTTTCGTATATATCATACTGGTTCTAGGTCTTCTCTCTTTACGTAGGACTCATCTGCTTGAAGGTTTGTGCTTTCATGGCTTATCTTCTCAATCACTGAGATAAAATTCAAAACCTACAGGTTCACCATTGGCATTCTTATGCTGTTTCGAGGGGTTAACGCAAATGATTATTGTTCTTGGTGCCATTACCTGAGTTGCGTGCCGACCTCCATAAGGAGTTGCTCATCATCCACTATTTCTTGCTTGGTATGATGCTTAAACCTCCTCAATTCTACATTGCATGCCATTGCCTAAGCTTCCAGCCCTGTGATTGAATCTAAGTTCTATGGCATCCTAATACGGGGGGCCATAGAGAGATACGGCTTAATTATATTTATGGATTGGATAGAGAGAGATATATAAGGAGGTTACACATGCTGTTTGCATCTGTTCTCTAACAACAAAAGGCTCCCTGCTACCTGTTCTTGCAGTCGTCTCAAGAAGGGAACAGCCTGAACTTGATGTGTGGGGGAAACAGAAGAGCCCGTAGCTACCTCTTGCCGAATGCAACCGAAGCCCAGATAGAGGAACTCTGCTCCCAGCTGTGCAGTTGACGAATGCGTATGTTCTTTACCACTTTTCTATTTTCTTTATGAACACCCCCTGCTTTTTCAATTTTTCTTATATTCTTATGTATATGCCAACGCTCAAGTTTACAAAGATTCCGAATCAACATACGGGTCTATTGTGAAGTTGAATGGTGTAAATTAGGGATGAAGCCACAACATTTCACATGATTATGAGAAAACGGGCACCAAAATGATATAGAGTTGAAAATTCTACCCCCATAAAAGGATAAGCAGCTCGAACGAGTCGAACGTTCTACCGCTCACCGCAGGTGTGAATATGGACAAGCAGCACTTATTCACACCTTCGGTGAGCGGACTTGTGGGTGAACTTACCGAAAGTCCGCCAACCGATAATGAGGCCCAAAAAAATTTTAAAACGTCGTCAGGCTTAGAAATTGCTCGTCGTTTATTTTGACCTGCGGTAAGCAGAACCCAGCCTTCGCTTTGAATCCGCCATGAGCCGTGGTGAACTTACCGTGCGGCAGCCCGACGATAAAATGGCCCGAAAAATATTAAAACGAAAGCAAAAGATTATTGGGAGTTTATTTCGATTCTGCCCTGAAACCCAAACGTGTTAGATCACTCCGTCTCCCTCGGCCATAGTGGAACGAGATCGCCGCCGAGATCCCGTCACGCACGGCCAAGCGGCTCGGGAAGTGGTGGGAGGTCTTCAGGGAGACGCAGCAGAGGGAGGAAAGAGAGAGCAGCGTATCGACGTGCAGGGCAAATACGACGGCGTTCTCGAGAGCTTCGCAGAATAGCTGGTCCACGATCGGCGCGTTCTCCCACTGCCCATGGCCACACTGTTCCTTCCACCGTGGCTGTCGAACGATGCCGGTTCCCATAGAACGCCTTCGCAGTCGGTCAAAACCCTGGTTTCAAGCCGAGCGAGGAGTAGACGACGGCCTCGGACGGACAAGTGCTCAGCACTGCGCTGTGCCTAGAATGACCAGTTCAGAGGACGGCCACCATATGTCGGAGCTGGTTGACTGTGGCAGAGAATTAGAGGAAGGGCGGCGAGCATGGATGCAGCACAAGAAGGAAGCGTCATGGAGGCTGAAGAGGCTCGAGCTGCAGCTGGAATCGGAAAAGGCTTGACAGACGAGGGATAAGATGGAGGATGACACTCAGGGAGGAGCGGCAGGCGGCGCCGGAGAGGATCGAAGCAAAGTACAGGGAGCAGATTGCAGGGTTTGAGGAAGTACGCCGAAGCAAAAAAACAGAAACTCGCCGAGCAGTGGGCTGCAAAGTATATTCTGCCGAGCAAGTTCCTTAAGCAGGTGGGCCGTCGGCAGTGGCCACCGGCCGTGATGAACGAACGGTGAGACCCATGTCTCGATTTCTGTGTGGAAGGCCAAATTAAGTGAAGTGATCCCGTCACTGCATGTCAAACAATGCTCCATTAATGGATTCACACGACTGCAAGCCCGAGTGTATCACTTTACTCAGCAAAACCTCGGCTTCTTGCCGCTTCCCATCCTTGCAAAGCACACGAATGGTCAGACCATAGCTTGCAGCATTGGGAACCATTCCATTTCCTATCATCTCCCTCAGCAGCCTCAGCGCCCTGTATGAACTGCCCTCTCTACAGTACCCATAAATCATCATGTTATTTATCACATCAGTCGGTTTCAACCCTTTGTCCTTCATTGCGTCGAACAGCTTCCGGGCATCCTTCATCTCACCCTGCATGCACAAACCACGCATTAAAACACCGTATGTGTGAGCATCTGCCGCCAAGCCCGCTCTCTCCATGGATCGATGCATCTCGAAAGCTCTGTCCATGTCATCTTCTCTAGCAAAAGCATCGATGAGGATTGTGTAAGTTACGTTCGTGGGGGTTAACCCTCTGTCCTGCATTTCTCGATAGGCATTGGCTGCTCCTACCAAATCTCCAGCTCGAGAAAACCCATCGATGAGGACATTGTAAGTGATCGTACTCGGAGAATGACCATTTTGCTTCATCTGGTTCAATACACGAGAAGCTTTCACCATCTTTCCTGCTCGGCAATACCCGTCGATGAGAACATTATAAGTTACCAAACTCGGTCTCAGTCCAGCATCCTTCATCCTCACCAACAACTTCGTCGCGTCTTTTACCATGCTTTGCCTACAAAACCCACCGATTAGTGTGTTATACGTCACAACATTCGGCAACACTCCCTTCTCCGTCATTTCGTCGAACAACTGAAAGGCGAAGACCAGATCTTGACTCTTGCAACACTGGGACATCAACACATTGTATGTGTAGAGATTGGGGAAGACTCCTGCGCGCTTCATCTCGTCATACAGCTCGAACCCGGCATTGGAGAAGCCGTTCCTGAAGCACCCGCTGATCATGACGGTGTAAGTGAACTCATTGGGGGCCACGCCTTGTCCCTTCATCCGATCGAACAATCGCCTCGCCGCATCAAAGCTGCCTCTTCTACAGCACCCATCGATCAAAGTCGTGTACATGACCACGCTGGGCGGCGAGCCGCCGGCCTCGAACTCCTCCATCAAGTTCGAAGCTTCGTCGAGGCGTCCGGCGTCGCAGAGGCCGCGGATCATAATGCCGAAGCTGTAGGCGTCCAAAGGGACGCGGTTCTTGGCGTCGAGGAAGAGGGAGGAGGCGGTGTGGAGGAGGTCGGATGCGAGGAGGAGGTGGAGGAGCCGGTTGAAGGTGGTGATAGGTGGAGTGAGGCCGCAACGCAGCATTCGGTCGAGGTAGAGGGCGGCGGGGCAGGGTTTCTGGGATCGGATGTGGGCGTCGATGAGGAGGCGGAAGATGAGGGAGGTGGTGGCGGGGTGGTGAATCGGCTGGGTTTTGATGATCTTTTGAATGAGAAGGAAGGGGTTATGGGTTGAAGGCATGTCTTGCTTGCTCGCAGAATAATAGTTTTGAGTTCATCGATTATATATACTTACTTATCCGTGAGTATATATTTATATAAATAATAAAACAGATCATTATAGAAAACAATATTTTTTATTTTAATACATGATACATTTAAAAGATTATTTTTAGTTTCTTTTATGATTTATATAAAATATATATGAACTCTAAGTTAGAAACTTGATATGGAAATTATATTATAGTTAATTCGAACTCAAAGTATAAACATAAATGTTCGGTGAATGCCCGGATATCATACCCAAAGGGAATTGTGTCACTCTATCAAGAGTTTATATTTCAAATTATCTACTTAGGCAACATAAACTCTATTTTCTTTGCTATAAATAAGTCTCTCTTAGACCCAAAATCATCATGCTTGTCTTATAACTTGAAAGTATTGTTTCATGTCAAACAAAAAATTCTCAAGCTTTCTTCGTATCACTAGCGCCCCCATATCAATGCGATTTGAGTGCCTTCAAGTTTTATATTAGAGTAACACAAGTATAATATTAGATATGAGTTTCGTTATGACTTCGTATAGGTGCTACATGAAGTCTGTGGTGTCTTCCGTCAATTTATCTACTCGGGACTCGACCTTTTTTATCTAAGATTCCTCCTCCTATTATGAGTTTTCTATCTAAAGAAACTTTCGTTGCCATGGTAGAGTTCGTATGGACTCACTTTGAGAATATCAATATGGGTTTCTATAGTTGTAAACCTCTTCTTATAGTTTCTCTTTTCAGTTAGTGCTTCCAATTATGCTTCCTCCACTTATGGAGAATAACCAACTTATAGAGAATAACCAACTTCTTACTTATCATTTTTATTATCGTGCTCCTCTTGAGTAAGTTTGCACTTACAACCTATCTATGGTTGCTTGAGGCAATGGTTCAAGTTGCCTCATCTTGCTCAATTCACTATGGTACTTTACCATGGTGAGATTACGAACTTTTGTTATTTGGTTGAATTGCTTGTCTGCTCCAATACCATAATATTACGGACTTAGTTGGAATTGCTTAATTGTGAGGCATCATTATGTTATCCGTCTGCAAAGGGTCGACTTAATTGAATCTCGCTTAGGTCTCGAATGACTTGTAAAAGAGCAAATTGATTAGTTCCAAAAATGAATGACGGACAAGCCCCGACGTCTCGAGGACAGTTTTATGAGCAATTTAACAAACACTTAGTATGCAAGAGGAAAAAAAAAGAAAGAGAAAATAAGAATTTTAGAAGGTAAATAAATTATCACAAGTTCGTAAACGACTACTTACTGGGTGTCGAATACGTTGGTAAATTCCATAGGTATTATATGGGAACTTGTGAATCTAATTAATACCTAACACTATCTCAAATGCCCATGTAACCAATCCTGTGCCATCCTGGTGATTCTAAGATATTGAGATAGTTGATATTTTGCTTCGCATTGCGGTCTATAGAAAACAACACACGAAAATTAGATCAATTTAGGATAGTTTTACCCATTCTAATATGTGGTTGTTCTACAGCCCTATAAATTATTTCTACTTATAAGTTTTAAACAAAATTTATAAAAAAAAGATAAAATATATTACTAAATATTATGTACAAGTAAACAAAAATGATGAACGATCCGTTGAGAAGGTGTTATGTGTACGCGATGATGATTGTCCATGACAGTATGGAAGATATAAATATTTTTTTAATTTTTTTTCCAACGAGCTTTTTTTATTCCTCCAAATGCAATAGTACGAAAAAAAAAACATAATAATTTAGTTAAGTCAGGTATATTAATATTAAACATTGATTTTAAAACATCTTTAACAATTCTAAACATCCTCATGACAGTCTTTTAGCCTTTTAGCGATGACGCTCCAAACATGAACAAATTTTTTGTAAATTAGATCATCCATTAAATTATCCATTTCATCAAAAAAAAAATCTAAATTTATTTAATTTATTCCAATAACATAACACACTATGTGTTCCTTCTTATCAATCTAAATTATTTATGAACCGAATAAAACATAATGGATATTTCAAAATAAGAAGTCTATCATTCATCGACACAAATCAATGAATAGATCCGATCATTATTCGGTTCAAAATAGACCTGAATCATAATCAAACCGATTAAGAATCGGAATTATACCGAATTAATGATCCAATGATTTCAACTGATTGAATTCTCATTTGATTCCAAACTAACAAAAAAAAACCTAAATTCCTTCCAAATGACGAATCTATCGCTTCTAATAATAAATGACTAATTGAAGAGACTTTTTTTTAATAAAATAAAATAAAATAAAATAAAAATCAATTCCTAAATCCAAAACCAAAATCGCTTGCAATTCGATAGTCCGATTCCAAAATTTCTCTCTCTTGGTAGGTGTATTAAGCCGGAAAGGGAAGCGACGTCGGTCCCACCGGCCATGATGAAGGAAAGAGGCGTGAGGAGAGAGTAAAGCATGCAAGTGGTGTCCCCGTCTCCGCCTTTGGTGGGCCAGCGGGAGCGACCAGCATTGGGTCCTCTTCCTATTTGCCGGAAAGAAACGGCACCTTCACCGCCACCACATGCCATCATCATCAATTCGTCCGTCCGTCCGTCCGTCCATCCACCCAACCAACCACCCTCACCTACAAACCCATGATTACCCGCTGCTCCTCCTTCGTCAAAAAGCATCTGCTGCACCTACGCATCCGGTCCCCCATTTGCATCTTTATCCAAAGTTTCCCTTCCCACCCAAGGAAGAAGAAAGGCCACACGATTCCTCCTGCTCACCTCAACCATCCAAATTTCTTGAAGATGCTGTGGTACCCTTCGGTCATGTTCTCCTTGGCTTTCAGTTCCAGCTAGAGCAAACAGTGTTCCTTAGGATAGGACAACCACCTGCGAGAGGAGTTTGAGTGTACGAGCTTCGGACCTCATGTCCAGCACAGTGAATGAAACAAGCATTCGCATGCACAAGTAATCTCACTTTTCACTGAAACAAGGGCGATTCTCACAACGAAGGAGAGAAAAAGAACTATGGAGATTTAAGTGGCTGTGGCCGTCAAAGAATTGAAAGGCATCAAAGAGAGGGAGAGAGAGAGAGAGAGAGGGAGGAACAAATCTTAGTGTGCCATTGCAACGGGATTCGGGAAAGCGATGCTTCGTTGGCTGGGCAGTGCGAGCATGGCCGTGTGGTCCAAGAAGTCCTTGAGGGCCACGACCGCCTCGAGGATCCTTCGTAGGTCGTCGGCGCAAGAGAAGCCGGCAGCTCCCAGCCGCCGCACGGCGTAGACGTAGAACGTCAGGCACCCCTTCCGGAACTTGAACCGCGACATCTCGCAGCCGGCGAGCCCCCGGATGAGCCTCTTGTTGACGTCCCCCAGCGGGATCATGCGCGGCCACAGCCGGTCCACCGCCACCTTCATGCTCTCCGACTCGAAGACGAAGATCACCGCCTTGGACTTGTTGGTGCCCAGGCCGAGGGTGAGCGTGTGCCATGCATGATGGGCCAAGATGGTGAAGTTGGTGGGCAGGTACGTGGTGGTGGAAGGGAAGGGAAGGCTCTGGCACTGGCTGAGGCAGGACGGGGGGATATCCAGAAGCCGCAGCAGCTCCAGCGGCGTCGCCTGCCGGACGGTGAACGACTTGACCACGAATTGGCCGCCGAAGCGGATGCCCTTGACGTCGGCGCTCGGCTTGAAGTGAGGGTCGCCCGTCGCAGACTCGTCTCGGCGAGGAGGCTTTTGTGGCTGGCTCTTCTGGTCCTTGTGCTTATGTTTCTTCTTCTTCTTCTTCTCCTCTTCTCCCATGTTACCTGCTTGCCCTTTGGCAGCTGCACTTCTTCGTGCTATGCTGTTTGATGACTGAAAAGAGCTCTAGTGAGGTCCCTGGTCAGGCTCAAGTTCTCTTTCTTGCTTTGTTCTTTTAGGTGTCACAGCACACCTGGTCACCGGAAAGGGTCCTCCACTTTCCCCTTTATACGACGGCAGAACCCTACTGTATGGTGACGGAATCAACATGATCAATGTTTCTTCCTCTTCTTTACCGCTCGCATATGACTTACCGTCGTCATTCCGTACCGTCTTCTTCCCACAAGCAGTTCCTGTAACCAGAGCAGGTTGTTGATCTGTGCCTAATCGTCAAGCCAGACACGATCTAAGAACAAAGAAGAAGGCCAATTCAGCAACCAAAGAAAGAAAAGTGAGAGGAGTTGCTGCTGTGGGTGACTACCGATCAACCACCATGCTCCACAAAAGTTGGTACACTTAAATTGCTTGCTTCGGGATACGTACTACTTGCATCGACCGAGGCCCTGCTTTGCCGTCATTAATGCAACGGAGATGCCACACCTACCAACACTTGCTACATTTCCCAAAATACATGCACAGTGCGCGGAAAATAGGTGGATCTGAGTCGGAGACATCCTTATTCATGTATAGTTCATGAAACATGCGGTTGCGTAGTAATGGAAGATGATGCACAGGCATCGACAGGACCACCGTGCAGCGAGCAGATGATCACATGATGGCTTTGCACACTACACTCGCGCTAAATTCTGATGCGGCGATGTGGACGTCGTTCTTAGCACCCTGTCGAGAATCTACGGATCGTTATCATGGAAACACGTGAACAAATTAAAGAGAGGTGCAGCGAGAGGAATTTAAACGACATCTTCGACTGTCATTTCTTAATCTTAATCAGTTCGATATAATCTAGATTTATACATGTTAAATTATTCGAAGTATCTCTAATATAAAAATATTGTGCTATTAAGGTATCATTTATACGAAGGTTTTTCATTTGATCTTTTCAATTCGTAATCCGATATTTTTAAACGTGAGTTTGAGCAATTCGAAAAAAAATATTCTCGAAATATATTTTTCTATTTTAAAGGATAAGATAAAAACTTGAGATAGTCTTCCTTTTTATAAAAGACACGAAGAAAGTTTGTGTTTCTCTAATTTGAATTTGTTTATGTAAACAGATAGATGAGTGGAAGGTAACTTAGACCTTTTATGACAATCATAAGTCGTTTGACAATAGATTTCTTATCAAAAATTGAGATTATTTTTTTCTCTGATGAAAGAAGGCTCATTGCTAATGCCGTATGACAACAGTGGCAATTTTATCTTATCATTTATACGAAGGATTTTCATTTGATCTTTTTAATTCGTACTCCGATATTTTTAAATGTGAGTTTGAGTAATTAAAAAAAAAAAAGAAAATTTTCTATAATTTAAAGGATAAGATAAAAACTTGAGATCGTCTTCTTTTTTATAAAAGAAATGAAGAAAGTTTATGATTACCTTTTTTTATCATAAATGAGAAGGAAGATAATGTTTCTCTAATTTAAATTTGTTTATGTAAATAGATAGATGAGTGGAAGGTAACTTAGACCTCTAATGGAAATCACATGTCGTTTGACAATAGATTCTATATAAAAAATCGAGATTAATTTTTTCTTATATTTTATTTAATATCATATTTTCTTTTAGTATCATAAATATCGTTCATTGCTAATGCCGTATAACGATAGTGGCATTGTGTCTAAGGGCATTTCGTTTAGGAGCATAAGTCCGGCACAATTGAATGTGAGAGATTAAGACATTCATGAAGAGACGTTAAGAGGATTAGTAGAAAAAAAAGGAGCATCAAATGTGAAAACTAATTTTTTTTTTCAAAGAAAAAAGTAAAAAAAAATAAAAATTATTTTAGAAAAATCATATAATGAGTTGAACCAGCGACGAGGGACTAAAACCTGATTCGCCAACGAGGTTAATGACATGTTTCGGTTTGACCTCCGCATCCCACAACTAGTCGGTTGAATCAACCCAATTCCACTCTACGCAGGGCTAACTTTGTCTCACTAATTGGCCCCACACCACTCGATTGGGTCTGGTAATTAGAGCTCTAATTCATGGCACGAGAATCCGGTAATTTAGCTGGTACGAAGGTGGCGTGATGATTTGCCAGAACAATTGAATGTAGGATATGTCACATATAATGTGTGCGTTCCGAGACGGCGCGGGCCAACCGAGCTCGGGACCCACAACGCCACCGAGTAGCGTGCGCCGCACTCGGGGGCTCCCCCAGGAGTCCCGACACCGCCCTCCAGTATCCGCTTACCGCGTGCCACCACGCTGTCTCGCTCCTAAGAAAAGAATACAGCCACCCGGGGGAAGCATCCCCGAGGCCCCCCACCCCCCCTTCCCCACGATTTTGAATCGCCCCCGGTTGCTCGATCCATCGATCGAGGGTGGGCGAGTGGATCGAGGCGGATCGATCGGTGGTCGACGGCTATGCAGTACCACGCCTACAACCGCCTGGGGAGCGGCGGCGCAGGCGGCGGCGGGGGGACGCCTTCGCCGCCGGCGTCGCCCCGGAGGTCGCCGAGGATCCATCGGAGGGGCGGGAAGACCGGCGGAGGAAGGGGGGCGACTCTGGCGCCGCCGCGGACGCTCGCGCAACGGATGGCGTGGATGCTCCTCTCCCTCCTCCTCCGGCGGCAGGCCATCTTCCTCTTCGCGCCGCTCTTGTATGTTGCCGCCATGATCTTCTATATGGGAACCCTGCCCCTCGATAGCGTTCCCCGCATCATCTCCCGCCCCGCCCCCGGTTCCGTTTACCGAAGCCCCATGTTGTACGAGCGCCTCCGCGCTGACATGGAAGCCGATAACTCGTCCGATGGGGTCAGTTTCTGAACCCTAATTGAACCTCTTAAGCTGCTTTTATTCGCAAATTGATTTGGATCCGAGCCTTCGTTTCAGCATCTTCTTCTCTATTATTTTCTCTCGATGTGGTTCACTTGGGCAGATTTCTATATCAGAATATCTAGATTTTGCTTGCATCTTCTTGTAAACCTAAGAGATATCTAGGCATGAACTTTGACATATCAAGATCATAACGTCACTGGTGCAATTACTTTTAATCGTCTTTAATTGGCATAATTCAGTTCAAATTCTTGACTAGATTGTAAAATGACAATGCATCTGGTTTGGATGTTTCGTGATAAAACCTAACACAACAAGCATTAATCTTTTTATCTTTGTCTTTCCACATTCTCTCCCAAGTTCAACTAGAATACAATCGTTCTACCATTTCTTATGCTTATTGTGGGATTGGAGGGTTTCTGCTATCAACTGGAATGTACTTTAACTGAGATCAGCCGTCAAAGGATTAGAGTGTGCTTATACAGTTGCAAAACTAGGAATCAAGACTTTCAACTAAAGCTGTTGTCGCAAAAATAGTAGGCACAATTGCAGTTGATACATTTTTGTTGGATCACTTCACCTAATGACTTAAACTTTGTGTGATTCTGCAGTTAGCAACTGTGTGGAAGCACTCTTTCAAGGATGATAGGTGGCGACCCTGCATAAACACCTCTGCTGATGGTAAGGTTGTTCAGTGAATCTCATAATTTTTTGACTTCTATTGCTCTTTTTGTAAAAGAATTTGCAACTGGAGAACATATATCTCATGCAATCTATATATATTTTTTCTTCTTTAGGATCTTGATTGATTTTACAATCTTCATCAACATACTTCCTTGTACATGTATAATCGAATGCCTATTTGAACATCTTTTTTTTATTTTTTGCAGTATTGCCTGATTCTAATGGTTACATATTTATTGAAGCAAATGGTGGCTTGAATCAACAACGGACATCGGTTGTTCCCTCCTCTTCGCAATGACCTTTTTTTTTCTTTTTTTTTTCGTATCCTCCATTCTGGGTATGTTATTGTGCTTATTTGGTCATTTATTTATGCATTTTATACTTTTTCTGCAGATATGCAATGCAGTTGCTGTGGCACGATATCTAAATGCGACACTTATTATTCCTTATTTTCCGTACCACAGCATTTGGAGAGATCCTAGGTTATTATCATATCTCCATCTCATTTATTTCATATATAAGTTTTAACCTTTTGTTTTCATTTATCATCACACTTATGTTCCATAGTTAATTTAAGCAAAGAAGAACGGTTTTGTTTCTTTGTAAGCGCCCATAATTGGCCCACAATTGCAGCTCCATCGTATTTTCTGTGGACAATTTGACAACCTTATATATAAAGGTTCCTTTTGCCACAGTGGACCGCGGTGTACATCTTTGCCTTGGACAACAATGACTCTTTGCTATTTGACCAAGATGCAATATCACGACTATTTGGGCTCAGCTACTGTTCTGCTAATTGTAACCAATTAAATGCAACCCCCCTTATCCAGCCATAGGACCAGCTGAAAAAGGCAAAATTAAACAGCACAGAAAGAGAAATAGATATAACAGTGGACCATTATATGCATCTTTTGCATTGAACCTTGACTGTCGGTTATTAGACCAAAAGTGAAGCTTAATATGGAGCAGTCTATTACTTGGTTTGTATCATTGATATTTGTGTACCAAATTTAACTCCCTTTTTTCTGGTTAAAAGTGCTGGTTTTTATTACCTAATTCAGCAACAAAAGATTCATGAAGTTGTTTTCTGATGTATTTGATGATTGGCACAGCAAATTCAATGATATCTACGACAAGGATCACTTCATAAGTACTCTCATAAATGAGGTGCGTGTCGTTGACAAGGTCCCTGAATTTTTAATGGAACGGTTTGGTAACAACATGAGCAATGTGTTTAACTTCAAGATAAAAGCTTGGTCATCCATTCAGTACTACAAGGATGCTGTTCTTCCTAAGTTAGCTGAGGAAAAGTGAGTTCCTTACCTCCTTGTTTCTGTCATTTTCAATTATTAACTTGGAAGTTCAGAGGACCACCCGGGAATTTGTATATCACAATCTATTGTGGTTTTTTCCTTCATGCTACATTATCTATGTCACTGTTGTTTATCTTAATAAATTTGTTTTTGCATATGATAAATTTTCTTCTTCTTTTGTTATCTTGGGGTATAAGTTGGTGCTGCATTTTCAACATTAGGCTTTTCGTGCCATCGCAAATTGGGTGCCTTTTGATTGTGTGGACATTTCGAGTTATTCAATCTAGTTGCTACCTGTATTTCTTTTCTTGTTGTTCTTCCATCCTTTTCTTTTCGGCACAAGTTATAGGGGTTTGTTAATGGTATTGAGAGTAAAGAAAGACGGAATAGTTATATCTACAAATTATATAATGAACTCTATATTTGACATTTTAGCTTGACAGAAAATAGTTATAAGACTAAAAGCCATAAATTTGTCCAAAGATCTGGCCAATTAGGTAAAAGAAACTTTAAAAATAGTAGGACTTGATAGTTGCTATTGAAATTTGAAGGAGGTTGGGAATCATGGAGTAGTTTGGTTAATTGGTTTTTTAATAAGGTTTCAGAAGTAAAATATTGTGTCTGATTGTACATTTAGCTGCATTCATAAATCAATATTTATCTGAATGAGCTAATATTGGTCATCGTTTTATTATTTTAAAGCATTTAGGTACTCTTAGTCTTGTGGATATAAACTTCAATTATGATAGCTCTGGTGTCACTTAACAAAGTTATGTCTGCAATTTGAATCAGGCTGATAAGGTTCTCTCCTTTTGCAAATCGGTTATCATTTAATGCCCCCTCCGCAGTTCAGCGTCTAAGATGCTTGGCAAATTTTGAAGCATTGAGGTTTTCAAATCCTATAACAACTTTGGCTGAAAATTTGGTCTCTCGAATGAAAGAACGCAGTGTAGACAATAATGGGAGATATATTGCTGTGCATCTGCGATTCGAAGAGGTATATTCAGATTTGTTTTGATGTCGCTGAATCTCGTGTTGTTTGGTTCATATGGATTGGTTGTATTTTCCTTTTTCTCCAGGATATGGTTGCCTTCTCTTGTTGCATATTTGATGGCGGTGAAGAAGAGAAACAGGACATGATTGCTGCGAGAGAGAGAGGTTGGAGAGGAAAATTTACTAAACCTGGTCGCATCATTCGACCTGGAGCAATTAGGATAAATGGAAAATGTCCATTAACACCTTTAGAGGTATAACCGATTTTATCCTTTGTTATGTGAAGTGTCTAGTAGTTTTTTTTATGTTGGAATGATCTGCTGATGGTCTTTTAGTATCCCATCGTTACAGTTTTGTCTTTTAGCGTGTTGCTTACTTGTAAGGTTCACTCAGGGACATGAACTTAATTTAATAGGAGATATGAAAAGAAAATTGAATCATCATTTATGCATGTAATTATTGCTAATATTATGTTTTCAGATGATCAACTTGATATGACCATATCATGACACAAATGTTGAATATTATCAACGGTTTAATTATCTCCTCATTCTTGTTGCTCTCCCTTTAAATTTTGAAGTCTCTCAGTTTTGGTTCCATTGCTTTTTTCTCCAATCGTTGCCGCTAAACCGTCCTTGCTATCATTCACATGGGTATATCACAAGGTTTAGTAACCACGACTAGATAGGGCCATATCTGGGTGCAGTGTGATTGACCATTACTATTAATTTCCTGTGACCACTCTTAATAGTCACAAAATCAACCTCATGTTGTTGGAGAAATGGGTATTTGTTGCTCCCTTGTTTTCAGATAAGTGGCACATAAATAGATCTCTCGTATATGGCCTTTTGGTTAAATCAATTTCTTCTGGATCTGTGGAAACTGATTCTTATTGCTATTGACAATTGGACATTTTGTCTAAGAAATTAGATTCTGCATTTCAAGGGGGTTTGGCCATTTTATTGATCTGCATGTCAAGGATAAGATAACTGCAAAATGCTGATGCATCTGATTTCATTGCTTTAGTGAGCAAGTTGGTGTATATGCAACTGAACTTCATTGCTCACACTTTGATTAGAAAAATCATTTATTTGTTTTTTTCATTATATTGCAATAAATACAAGAGGAATACAGTTAAGATATCGAGTCTCTGGAAAAATTAATGACTTTGTCATTGGATAGTCATTGAAGAATAGAAAGTAGTGTAGATGCCTTATTAGTCTGCATTCATCAACATAAAGCAGGTAAACTCACTTATGTTTTCACAAACCATAATTTACTTTTTCCACTGATTGGCAATGCTAGCTTGGCTACCATCGCTGATGCTTGAACATAAAGTTTTACTTACGCATCCTAGGCATACTAATGCACTTCATTTTTTGGTATAAGGTTGGTTTGATGCTCCGTGGCATGGGTTTCAGTAATGACACTGCAATTTATTTGGCTTCTGGGAAAATTTACAAAGCTGAGAAGACTATGGCTCCCCTTCTTGAAATGTTTCCCCTTCTACAAACTAAAGAAACACTAGCATCAGCAGAGGAACTTGCTCCATTTGAGGTATTTATGCTTTATTCATTCTTTCCGAAGCACCACATTTTGATTTGTCTATATTTTCATGTTATTCACGTAAAATGACTGTTTCCTGCAGAACTATTCCTCTAGGATGGCTGCAATAGACTACAGTGTCTGTCTTCACAGCGAAGTGTTTGTGAGTACTCAAGGCGGAAACTTCCCTCAGATTCTGATCGGCCACAGGAGATACTTGTATGGTGGGCACTCTAAGACTATCAAACCTGACAAGAGGAAGTTAGCGTTATTGTTTGATAATCCAAATATTGGGTATGTCAGTTGACCTGCTATTATTACCTCATTAAATTTTATCATGTTTGCCTTTGGAATTTAGCATTTTCAACTCAAGCAGTTTTGTGGCCTATAAATTTTAAGCAATTGATTAGTTCTACCATTCAATACGTTAATCCAATCTCAGTTAAAAAATGAATTTTTTTCGCTAGTTAGAAAGTAGAAAGTTGACAACATTATTTTCTTGTTGCTCGATTGCTTTCTGTCTCAAGTATGTGGTAGTCAACTCACAAGACTGTATTATATTGTAATGCCTCTACCAAATGGGAAATGCTGTGGGTACCTTTCAGAAAATAGTTTTATCTGGACTGTAGATGTGTAGGGACATGTGGAGAGTAATATTGCCTTTCCTCTCCATTCTTAGATCCAAGAATATGAGAACTTTAGATGTCAAAACTTTATTAGACAATTATATCCTTGTTTATTAACTAACAAGCTTGGACAATCTATGGCAGAGAAGGTGCATAATTACCCTGTTAAATTGAACGGTGTTTTCTATCTAAATTTTCTATCAGCTTAAATTCATGCTGGCTGTTATGCTTTGACTGAGTGTGGACATTTGAAGATTAGATGAAGAGTCTGAAACAGCTCAAATGCATCTGCATCCAGTATCCTTACTTGTTTCTAGTTGATGTAGGTGTGTCAGGGAAAGCAGTCTCTGTACCATAGTCTTCTAGTACCTCATGTAGACTCATTTTGAGTGTGAAAGTTTTCTACCCAATGATTTGATTTTGCTAATTATTATAAATAGCTGGAAACTTTCCAGTCATTTTTTGGAGAAATGAAGTTTCATTTAAGACAATCGTTTATATTTATATACTGCTATTATTTTTGTTTGATATTCAGTAGACGAAGGATTCTTTTTTGTTTATCATATCTTTTTTTTTTTCACATATGTATGTCATGCATGATATTCCTAGTAAAGTGTTCTTCATGTTTACATGATGTAATACATTTTACCTGCTTATTTCACAGATGGAAGTCACTGAAGCGCCAATTGCTAAACATGCGAGCTCACAGTGATGCCAAGGGAATTGAGATGAAAAGACCAAATGATTCGATATACAGTTACCCATGCCCTGACTGTATGTGCCTCTCAAACAAAACTGAAATCTTGAGATCTTCATCAGTTCGATAGTATCAGTTCCAAGGAATTTTTGGTTGACATGTATAGTGATTCAACTGATGTTGGAGTCGATGTGCCATTCATTCTTTCATTGGCCTCTTGCGAGAGCACCATTCTTTCCGAGTTTGCAGGCTCCATTCAGACTGCATATTGCTATTCTTTACGGTCTGGGATTACTACATTTTTATAGTTGAAGAGTTAACAGAAGATGGGAACCTAATCATTGTCACCCGGGTGGGTGCTGTCGGACACTTTAACTTGCATTCACAACCTCTGGATCCATAATACCCGGAAGTCATGTCTCCTGGCAGCTTTGGTGCTCATCGTTGTAGGAGTGTCTTGTATATTAGTCAATTCTTTTCCACTTGAGATGCAAGCCAAGCATTTGAGACAGCAACCTTTTGGCTTCACTGTTGTACCTTCAATCTTAAACAATTCTTTCCTAAGGAGGTAGGGAGTCATTCTTCTTTCATCTGTAATCACAATGGTTAGCTTTAGAATATTCACCCCATGTGAAGGGTGAGAAGAGTCAGCTGTGTTGTGATATATTAGGTTATTCAATTTTTTCATTATTTTATCAATTGCGGCGTCAAGGTTGATTAATGGTGTGCTGTATTGCCAATTAAATTGCATCCAAAAATAAGTTCTCTTGTTTGTTAGAAAGGAAAATTGGTTTTGGTGGTCAATGTTCTTTTCACATATTCTAGTGTGAGAATTCTCTTTTTTGTTTTCCCTATGTTGCCTTTGTATTTTTTTTTTGGAAGGAAAAAGAAAATCTGTAACTCACAATTTTGATTGGTCTGAGCTTTGGTTCGGACCGGGACAATAGTTTGTTGCCTTTGTATTTTTTTGGAAGGAAGAAGTACCTAAAAAAAATATTTTTTCGAAAAAACACTGATTTGTGATAGAAACTTGAATTTTTGGAGAAAAAAAACACTGTTACCTTTGTTTATTTTTCCTGAAATAAGAAAAAAAACAGCTGGAAATAATTTGTTTGAATAACAAAGTGTATTTTTGAAAAAAACACGAATTAAAAAATTTCAGGGTTTGGGTCTGTCAAGTAAGAAAGTGTATTTTTGAGAAAAAAACATTTAATAAAATATTTTTCGCAAAAACACTGATTATTGGGATAGAAACTTGAATTTTTGGAAAGAAATAAAACACTGTTCCCTTTGTTTATTTTTCCTGAAATAAGAAAAAAACAGCTGGAAATAATTTGTTTGAATAAGAAAGTGTGTTTTTAAAAAAGAACGAATTAAAAATATTGTGGTTTGGGTCTGTCAGACAACCCCAGAATCACCCCATCTGGTCTGAGGACCAGCTGAGAACGATCCTCTGCGGCCTCAATCGTACGATCTTAGCCATTAATCACGCTCTGATTCTGAGGTCTTGTGTCATCAACCAGATTATGTTGCCTGTCTGCTTCGTACTCGAAGTAACAGTTGTACGAGCCTATAGAACAGATCCTGTTCAAGTAAGGTCGTATCCGCTGTTCTCGCTGGGCTTCTAATGAATTGTTTGTATCTTTCATAAATAAACGATGTGGGACTTTAGGTAACAAAGCGGATATGATCAACGGCCGTGATCTTCTGGGTTGGAATAGATGATGATGTTCGAACCGTTCTCTCCTTCCTTTCTTTTCCTAGACTCCTTGTTCGTGTCCGAGACGGTCTCCGAATCCATCCAAAAGCTCACTATATAAGTTAGAAGCAGAAGCAGAGAAATCAACAAGCAAGAAGATATGGAGTTCAGGAATAAGGAGAAGAGCATCGCAAAGTTGGAGGCAGAAGCAAAGCTCGAACAGCAACAAGTGAAACCAAGCACAGTCGTCGACGACGTTGGGTTTCGCACGCCGACATCATCGTCGCACAGGATTCCGTCGTCTTCCACTTGTCCGCCGGCGCCCAGGAAGCCTCCGCCGCGCTCGACGAGGGTGTGCAGCAATCCAGCTGAAGGCCGACGCAGTGCTAAGCTTTCCCTTCGATTTGACGACTCCACCCTCGGCCTCGACGCCTTCACCCCGGTGGCCAAGCAGCCGCGAGCAGGAGACGACGCCGCCATTGTCAACTGACCCTCTGCTCTTGGCGCCACAGCACATAAGATTCTTACAGCTAAACAAATTTCCTAGTGATTGTTTTCTTTCTTTTCTTTTCTATTTTGTTTGATCGGATTACATGTAATCCGATTATTGGATTTGAATAAACACATCTGAAAGTTTCGGTTTTGCATGGATTTATGTATACCGATCTTAATTACAAGGAACAAACAAGAAAAATCACTAAGGATATCAAACGATGAGATACAAGCACAGAGCAATAACATCAATCAATGTACGATGTGATTGCTTTAGGAAATAGAAATAGATGACATTGAGTACAGCATTAGTCATCCATCTGACTAATTGTTTTCCGACAGCTGAAAAAGCACGATAATATGAGTCAAAATGATATTGGATTACAGGTCAAATTCATTCATGAACTTCCACTAGACTGATCAGAAACAAACACTGTGTGGGCATCGCTGAGGCCACCAAAATAGGAAGTCAGAAAGCAACAAGTATTCCAGCATGCATCCTAAGTCTCTTTGAACTAATAATGCCACCTTCAATCAAGCGATCTTCTTAACGATATCCTGAATGACTTCATCCATGTCGAGCTTCTTCATGGGTGTGAATGGCCTTGGCATATTCTGCAAGGAAATGAAGGAGGTGAGCTACTTATTCTAGTAAAGATGTCTTTTGGTGCTGAGCAACTTGATCAGCCTTCAGGCCATGAAAGAGAAAGCACTTTAACCAGATTAATGACCTATAAATACACGAGTAATTTCTCGAAACCCTGCAATACCACTTCAACCAGATAAAAGAACTCATTCGCCACTCTTTCCCTATCAGCTTGATTCATCCATAATCACACACAAACTAAGATCCTTAATTTAGTAACGACTAGTCATCAGCATTTCGATGAAGAAAGTGTGAAATAGCTATCCGATGCACGTTTGCGTGCATCCTAAGCAAAGCCTGTGAAAATGATGTTGTAACAAGCAACCAATTTTCTAAAGATAATATATTAATGAGACAAGATTGTACAAGAGTTACCAATAATGAAACAAAAATTTGACCGCTTTCCTCACGTATCTCGAAGCATCCCCGTCGTGGCTGCATATATTATAGAAACCAAAACAACCGATTAGGTAAAGGAGAATAGAATATGACAGAATCATGAATGGCAGATAAACATTATTCATTTCTGTTAATAAGAAGAGAATATACTTTTCTTAACCATGAAATGTTATAAATAAACATACTGATTTACTTATATAATACCACCTTGTTTGGGAATTTGGACAGCAGCACTTAGAGGAGTGAATGCATTGTATTATAAACATAGCAAACTTAATCTGCATCACAATTTACCAAGCATATGATGCACGAAACCCCATATGCTTAAGAAAGATAATCTCATGCTTGCTAAAATAGCCTGTGGCAGTAATGTTAAGGCATCGTACGATTTGCATGCTGACAGACAAATAGGCGAGTCAGTAGACTTGACTATTTTCATATGCTTTGTAAGGATTTTAATGATTTTATCATCTTTAATTCATACCATGATTTCATCCTAACCAATTCTTCAAGCGCTGGTCTATCATTTATGGCCAAAAATTTAAAATCAATTGGACGGTAGGACATACTAATATCCTGTTGTTGTTGAATGAAGTCCTATCATATGTTCACTATGCATCTTATACTTTTACACTATCAAATGACTTCAACAATTCAACTTGACCGGAGGCTATATTTTGGCTGAATTTGTGGATCAAATAAAAAAGATTCATGAAAATGCAGTTTATATATATGGATGGACTAACAGGAAATAAACGTAAAACTTATATGTTTACAATCTCACATTCGCTTGAAACAGAAACAAGATGCTTCGAGTGTGCATTCGACTGCAATAGGAGTTACCAATACATAACTGGACAACATTACACCATCACAAACATGACAACCATTGGAGATTCAAAATTAATTCACAATATAAAGTATGAACTGAAGATAAACAGTAACATGGTTGACTAAATATCAAACTGCTTTATTTTCCTTTTTTGCAACATAACATCCATGAAAAGATGCTCATTGTTAAGCTAGTCAACAAGTTTCCAATCTAGCTTCATTGCGTGAACCATTTAAACAAGCAATGCCCTGGAGAAAAAAGTTCCAACTGCAAGAAGAAAGCATACCTTCTCAGGATTAATTGTAACAACTGTTCCAGGCACAGCACTTTCAAGGCCTTCCTTCACCCTTATGGCCCTTGTCTTGAAGGAATTGCATTGTTTGCTGAAATCCAATGATCAAGATATAATGCCAAAAAAATCACAGTAAAACCTTCAAAATAGTAATAACTAGAAGTCTCAGTTACCAAAACAAATCATAGCAGTTGCCCAAGGCACAAGTTAACATCACCACCTTAAGTAAAATAATATGAAGAGCACACAACACTGTTCCTTAGAAAGCACATACAGACCCAACATGGGTGCCAAAGAAAAAACACAGGAATCAATAAATACACATAAACCTGACTCTGAATTCCTTATATTATTTATTTTCACTAAAAGTCATAATACAAGATTTAGGATCAAAACAATACAAGAAGCAGAAATGCAATTTTACCATAATTAATAACTAACAAATTTTCGGCAAAATATAAAAACTATGTTCTTTAATATGTCTACATAACTGTTGCAGTGTTCAAAGTTGTATATACTAAATAGGACTGCTTGCAAGGAGTGTGTTCAGATATAATCTAAAACATGCAAAAGGAAAAGGTGTGCGAGAGAGAGAGAGGATATTTACCACATGGATTTCTAAAAATGTTAAATTGAGAGGATTGCAAGGAGCAATTTTTATGTAAATGGATTTCTTGTAAGATAATCTCACGGAAAAGAGAGAAAATGTCATGGATTACTAAAAAGGTTCGAAAGATCCAACGGTTCCATGCAGAAAGGGATGTCTAAAACCCTAGTTTCAATCCAACAAAAAGAGCCAAAATGCTTCTTTTAATCGGTTAGAAAGCAGAAATACCCACCACGCCTCGATGATGACGGTCTTGGCGGAGACGTCAGTGTTAGCAGGTGGGGAAGCATCGGGGGCTCCGTCGGCATCGGAAGCCTTTTTCTTCGCCTTCGCATCATCAGCCTTCACCTTGGCACCGTCCGACTTCTTCGCGTTCCCGTTCAACGAAACTTTGGCCTTCTTGGACGGCTTCTCAGCCGGAGGATCCGCCCTCTTCCCGGCGGTGGCGCTCCTGGTCTTCCTGGGCGAGATGGTCGGCGGCGGAGCAGAGCCCTTCGCTTTCCTCTTCGGTGCCATCACCTTACTCGTTCACCCTCTTTCGCCGTCTCTCTTTGAACGCGGCTTCGGCTCGCTCGCTTTCTTCTACCTCTCTCCTCCACTCGCGGCGTTGTACACGAAGTGTCCCGATCACAGTGACTCTTTTCCCGCCATTTTCATATCTGGATGTGGTGACGGCCGGTGAGAGTAAGCCGCTGTCACCAATAATACTTGGTCCGTACAACCCAACGACGTGACAAATTGGCGGCTGAATTTTAGTGGTCGACAGAAGGGGCCCTCACGTTCTTCTCCAATAAAAAGCGTGGGTCTAAGCTGAATGAGTCGGAATCCCCTGCTGGGCTCAGGTAGGAGATCCACACCGACCGATGCGCCACCCAATTGGCAATCACAGCCGTCCATCAGCTCTCTTGATAGACCACACCCCGGTTTTGTCCCTTCGCCTGTTGCCGCCCCGTCCTCCGTTTCCGCTGCTAGGGTTTCTTCGTCTTCCGAGGCCCAGGTATGAAGCGATCCGTTGCCGTGGTCTTTTGTCTCACCCAAATTATGGCTTAGTAGCAGCTCCATCTGGGTCTAGCGATGGTGCTTCCTCAGTCGAACACCGGTATCTTCGTTGGGATCAACAAAGGGCACATCGTCAGGAAAAGGGAGTTTTCCCCTCCCGACCTTCCAGCAGAAAAGGTGTATGACTGTGAAATCCCTGAGCATGGATTCTTGTTTAATTCTTTAGTTGGAAATTGGGGGAATATATATTTGTTTTCTATTTTACAAGATGGGATGATTGTTTGCACACAAGAGATTGATTTATGATTAGATCAAATGACTACTTTTAGATGGAGACATGGAGCGGCCGCTGATTGACTTTGTGAGTTTACTGTGACGAGTTGGATGGTATGTTTAAATGCAAGCTATTAACCACACTTTGAGGCAAAAGATCCCCGACCTCAAATCGCCGAGACTTTCGGCTTTGTTATTGTTGTTGTATTAACCACGTTTGAACTTAGCAACTTCAAGTTGGCAAGAATTGTTATTTGTGTTCTTTCCTTGAGTTTTATACGATATTGTTGAAACAAACCATGACTGTGTATTATAGACCATGGAATTCTTGCTATACACTTTGTTTCTGATATAGAAATTGTACTTGCAATATAGAATCCTCTCTGATGTCTTGCATCATCATCTACTTGAGAGGAACAGGTAGCTAGCTATATTATAAACCAGTTAATGCAGAACAAATCAGAAAGTTGCTAATATTTCTAACTATATATAACCTGATTCGGAATTGTAGTTATCTTCTTTTCTTTTTGATTTTTTCTTTGCCTTGGATATTAGTTCTTGTTATACAATCTAAATGACAGATATGGTGTTTTCTTTTTAAAAGTCAATGGATGATAGCTGATAAATACTTTTTTTTCTACCATATGCTTCCGACTTCTATTTCTTGCTAGTTGCATACAGTAAAATGACAATTATACTCCAGAAACCTAGCGAGAGGGTTTATTTATCAGGAACTTGATCAGGGAAGTGGGTTGCTTTGTCCCATATGAGAAGAGGATCACTGAGCTTCTGAAAGTCGCTAAGGACAACATGAACTGAAAGTTGCAAAAAGAACGCTGGGAACTCGAGAAAGAGCCAAGAGAAGAAAGAGGAGATGGCTGATGTGCTTCGGGTGATGAGGTAATTAGCTCTGTTTTGAATTCACATTTATCTGAGTTACAAGAATTGATTATATGCTGCTGAACTTTATTTGATAAAGGCATATTTAAATGTGATTTTATTATGAGGAATATGAGGCTGCAATTCAATGTTGTTTGATTGATGCATATACTTTTGTTCTTAAATTGGGTTTGATTAATCGGTTTCAGTATATTTTCTGCTATTATGACTAGGTTCCGAAATATTTCCTGCCATTATAACAAAAACTGTGGTTGGCATAAGATATGTCAGTGTGTTGAATAAAATCAACAATTGTGACAAAAATTTAAACTGTCATGTAGAGAAGTGGAATTGATATGCTAATTAGCATTATGAAGGATGGTATATACGTCCTCTTTGGTATGATTTTAGCCAGGTTTTGGTTCGACCATCAGTTGTGGTTGAAAGTTAGGTGGCTAAGGCAATCTTAGCACATTCACGGAATCGATTTAGACTAGCTACTTAGTGGGATCAAGTTTCATGAAACAGGATTTGCTGTGAGAATTAAGACGAGGAATGAATTACGTTGGATTGCATTATCATATTGATCTTTTCTGAATGTCTGAATATTCCAGCCTCATACTTGTGGTTCAGAGCTTTTGGTAAGCAAGCACCTCATCTCAAGACAGAAGCCTATAGAATATGCCAGCTGCTGATTTGTATCTTTACCTGAATGCTTTTCGGTCCTGAAACTTCTTTCTATACTCAGGTCTGCTGGAGCGAGCGATAAAACGAAATGATGACACCTTCTGCGACCCTTCGGATTTTCCATAGACAGAATTTAGGCAGCTGGATTGACATCTGGTTAAATGTTTGTTTACTTGGAGACTTCTTGCTTAGAGATTTTTTTTTTTTTCCGTTGTTGTAGCTTTACAAATTTCGACGATCATTATCCCATTGTTGATGTTTTCTGCTTACTGTTCTTCGAATCGAACAGTGGATAATCTAGAGTTTATTACATGTGCTTTGGCATTTTGGATCACATCTGCTTGATGTTCGTCGATCGAGCACTTCATTTTTGAGTAATCTTATTATTTGATGTTGCTATCATCTTCACTCCCGTTGTCGATATTGCTTGACATATTCGTGTTTCGCAGATACATAACATGAATGAAAGAATGCCTCAGAGAGAGAAGCCGACAAAGCCATATACTTGACTTGCAAGGGAGCTAAAATACATCGCCAATAGATGTCGATGACAGTTCACCGGTCATGAGAGGACATGTGGATCTTCGTGGATGTTCTCATTCGACTATGGCCAAAATGTATTATGTCGATCTGAGAAAAGTTAGCTTTCGCACGTCACGAATACCGGTAATAATTTGATATTGAGTTCTAATTTCATTAACTGACCCATCACATCGTCAAATCAAACCCATCAAGACCTTAGCGTTAGGTTGTGGTCGCTTTACGTCGGAAGTGGAGTCATTCATGTGGGATTAGGTCTGGTTGTTGGAGCGGCCGTGTAAACCCTGCCAACGCGCGGTTTGGTGTACACGTCACGGGGTTGACTAAACCGAGAAACCTGAGAACGATGCATCAAGTAAACAGGTCCAAGTCGAGCAAGACTTTGACTCTCGGTCATCAATCTCCCTCCTGCCCAGCTTGCTTCAAATCCCTAGCCTCTTTCGATTGCTGCTTCTGGGAAGCTAGGCGATGGAGGAGAAGGAGAACGGATCGATGGTGGGAGGGGAGGCGGTGGTGCGGCGGCTGGCGGAGGCGGTGGAGGAGATCGCTGTCATCTCCGAGTACCGGAACGCCTACAGGAAGCCGTTGTGCAGCCTCGCTCGGCGGATCAGGCTCCTTGCACCCATGTTCGACGAGCTGGGGGACGGGCGCGACCCGATCACGGAGCCGGTGGCGAGAACCCTAGCCCCGCTCGATGACGCGTTTGCTGCCGCCAAGGACCTCCTCCGGCTCGGCAGCGAGGGGAGCAAGATCTTCTTGGTATGTTGGTTCGACAAGTTCCTTCGAATTATTGCCTTGCCATTTTATCCCACACGGACATGTCTTCGATTTCTTCATTTTTGGCCGCGAGGTTTGTGAAATCAGTGAGAATTTTTGTGCTTCTACATCCATTGTAGCTAAAGGCTTGGTTTTGATTTGACAAACATGATGTGTTATTTATTTTTCTTTAAGATAGTTTACTGTTCAACTTGAATATGTGGGGGAATAGTTTGATAAACGTGTCTTCGATTTCTTCGTATTTGGCCGAGAGGTTTGTGAAATCAGTGAGAATTTTTGTGCTTCTACATCCACTGTAGCTAAAGGTTTGATTTTGATTTGATAAACATGATGTGTTATTTATTTTTCTTTAAGATTGAAGGGGAATAGTTTGATAAACATGTCTTCGATTTGTCCATTTTTGGCCGTGAGGTTTGTGAAATCAGTGAGAATTTTTGTGCTTCTACGTCCATTGTAGCTAAAGGCTTGGTTTTGATTTGACAAACATGATGTGTTATTTATTTTTCTTTAAGATAGTTTACTGTTCAACTTGAATATGAGGGAGAATATCAATTTCTGAGATTTCCTTAAGTTGGGAGCTCAGGAGATATTTAGGGGTAATTGCAACAGCCGTAATCCCAAACTGGAAAGACAAGTAAAAAAGGTAAAGGAAACAAGAAACAACCTAACTAATCGTTCGATGGAAAGGAAAATTACATGCCAGCAGTCACTAAAGAAGTAATCAATTATGTATATACCGAATATTTCCAATGTTGGAAGTATAATGATTTGTTTCCTTAGAACAATATTTCAGATTGATCGAGTTTGATGTCTTAGAGTATGAGTTGTTGCCGGTTGTTGTCAATTGTTGATGGTTCTTGTTGTCACACAACAATGGTTATAATAATTGAGGGGCAGGGTTTTTGGAATTATCAACAATGATCACGATCATTGAGGGATAGGTATTATTTAAAGTTTATTTTTAAACATAATTTAAGCATGTGAAGAAATCTTTCTTAAGTTGTTTCAAAATTACTTTGTTGAACTACCTCAAAGAAACCATCAAATCTCATCATCAAATCTCCCCCCATCTATGTTGCTAGCTGAGAGTCATTTGTTCTTTCAAAGGGAACTTATCTTACTCCAATGGTATTAAACCAAAATGATCATGTTGACTTATATTCTTTCATACATATTGCTACTCTGGCTATACAAGAATCTTAATTGACCTAAAGTACACCAAGAACTTTTCTTGAACCAACTGATCGGGATCCAGATCCCATAATCCTAATTAGATGAATGGAGATCAAAGTATTTTTACTGTCCAATTATTATTTTTAGTATTAAATGTTTTCTTTTTGCTTGTTTGCCTGCTTTCTGTAGCCCTTTGTTACCTTCACATATTATCTAACAGTTTCTTGCTTGTGATGATATGACATATACAGTTACCAGCAGTAACTTTTGCATATCAAGGTGGCATGTTTTAATTTTGCTGTGTTGATTAGGCCATCGTCCTCTATATCTAACTTGCTAAGCTTACACTTACTGTCATGGTTGGTGTTATTTAGCTGATGCTTTCGGCTTCATAGGCATTATTAAATTTGCTTCTACTCTCCTGGAAAGAAATAAATGGATATTCAGATGCTATCTCTTGAAGAGTACTACTATCCACTCAGTGAAGTGAAGACCTTTGGTTATTACCTGCAAAAACTGCCATGACCAAGACTTTAGATTCTTGGTTTGGGAAAATACTGCTCTGATTCTTTTTACTTGGATGCTTAGATGCATAATATGATTGCCACTTTGGGTTTGAATGTAACTTTTTTGCATGGACATTGCCTCATGTGATCAGGTCCTAGAGAGGGAGAAGATGATCAAAAGATTTCATGACGTAATTTCTCAAATAGATCAAGCTTTGGATGGGATTTCCTTTGATAAACTTGAAATATCAGAAGAAGTTAGAGAACAGGTACAGTCACCAGAAAACAATAACTTACTACTGTAAGTTTAATTCATTAGCATATAATTTCTATTTGAAGAACTCAAACTTATAGGGTAAAGAGAACCAAATTTGATTTTCTTAATGCTGTGCCTAATAAGAAACATTATGTGTAGATTGAGTTGGTACATGCTCAATTCAAAAGAGCCAAAGAACGAGATGACATGCCCGATGCTGAGTTGTATTCTAATCTCTTATCTCTATACAACAAGAGCAATGATGCCATTTTAGATCCATATACTTTAGAAAGATTGGCAGAACAATTACAGCTAGTCACCATCTGTGATCTTACACAAGAATCATTAGCTTTGCATGAGATGGTCTTTGCAAGCGGTGGAGATCCTGGAGAAAACATTGAAAAGATGTCAATGTTGTTAAAGAAGATAAAAGATTTTGTGCAGACCCAGAACCCTGAGATGGGCACTCGCTCAGATTCAAAGCCTTTCCTGTTGGATGGAAAGCCAAAAGTTCCTATTGTTCCTGATGATTTCCGCTGTCCAATCTCACTGGAGTTGATGAAAGATCCAGTCATTGTGGCCACTGGGCAGGTATCTGTTGAACTCTCAGTTTTCTTCTATTATTATGAAAGGTTAGGTGGTGCTGTCTTTGCATTACATTTACAGATGATTTTCTTATCTATATGCAGACTTATGAGCGGACATGCATCGAAAAGTGGCTGGCGTCTGGCCATGACACTTGTCCAAAAACTCAACAGAGGCTATCTAATGCATCATTAACTCCAAACTATGTCCTTCGGAGCCTCATAGAACAGTGGTGTGAAGCCAATGGCATGGATCCACCCAAGTGCCCATCCCGATCTACTAATCCCAGCTCAGCTTGCTCGTCACGTGAACTTGCTAATATAGATGCACTTCTCTGCAAGTTATCCTCCCCAAATCTTGATGACCAACTAGCAGCTGCTGGAGAGCTTCGTCTGCTGGCTAAGCGGAATGTTGACAACCGCATTTGCATAGCTAAGGCTGGTGCTATTCCCCTCCTCATAAATCTACTCTCATCCAAAAATTTATGCACCCAGGAGCATGCCGTCACTGCCCTTCTGAATCTTTCCATCCATGATGACAATAAAGCAATAATAATCTCTTCAGGGGCCATACCTGGTATCGTCCATGTTCTAAGAGATGGTAGCATGGAAGCACGGGAGAATGCTGCAGCGACACTCTTTAGTCTTTCAGTGGTGGATGAATATAAGGTGACCGTCGGGGCATCAGGGGCGATCCCTGCATTGGTGTCACTGCTGAGTGAAGGCACACACAGAGGGAAGAAAGATGCGGCAACAGCACTGTTTAATCTGTGCATATACCAAGTGAACAAGGGGAAGGCAGTGAGGGCAGGTGTGGTTCCACTAGTTATGGGGCTTCTTACAGAACCTGCAGAGTCTATGTTGGATGAATCTATGGCAATATTGGCCCTACTGTCAAGCCACCCGGAAGGGAAATCTGCGATTGCAGCTGCTCAGGCTGTCCCTCTGCTGGCGGAGATGACAGCAAATGGTTCTCCCAGGAACAGAGAGAATGCTGCAGCTACTCTGCTCAATCTTAGCGACGGAGAGCAGCAGCTTGGTACCATGGCTGCAGCACAGGAATGTGGGATAATGGGACCACTGCAAGAATTGGCCATCAGTGGCACAGAACGGGGGAAGAGGAAAGCCGTGCAGTTGCTAGAGCGCATGAATGGATTCTTGGTGCAGCAGCATGAGGCATATGCTCAAGCTGAGGCTTCAACCCAGACTCAAGGTCACATCCATGCTCAGAGTGAGCCAAGAATGAATGTGGCCTCTGCGGATTCTGTTGACACCTAGCTTTTTCTTCATTGGGAGGTTGTGATATGCGTATCAGAACATTTTGCCTGCTAATGCTTTGTGGCTTTTGCAATTATGTGTAAACAAAGAGCACGAGTTTTTAACATTGAGCTGTAAATGTATCATCAATCACATGGTTGTATGTGGAAAATGACTTCCATTTGGTTTGTGGACTTGTAAGTTTGCTAAAGTACGAGAACACTGATATGTTAAAATGGATAGTTGCAGATTCAAAAGCTTCAGCTCTTGTTTTCTTAGAGAATTCATGAATTATAGCAGGACATCTCTTTGGCGGATACTGGAAATGAAGTAGTATCATATATTAACTTACATGCTTCAGCATCATGGAATCTGATACCATGTGGTGTCATGGCTGTGATTGAGCTCATGTGAGGCAACGTGAGCCAACTCGGATTTGCAGGGCCTCCTGTTTAACCTTTCCTGCTTCGGCTGCTAATTGAAGAAGCGAGACCGACATCAAATATTCTTAGGACACCCCTTTAACTAAAAGCTAAAGCTGCCTTCCTTCTGCTGTGTGTGTGTGTGGGGTGAGGATAAACCAGGAAGGGTAATCTCTCTATCTTTGCCAAAGTTCTTCATGGACTTTGATTGCTTGCTTTATTCTCTCCAACAGAGACTGCATTGGACTTGTTGAAAGCAGACGAAAACCCAGATTCCCAAGGACACAGTCGGGGAAGCAAAGAGAAATTTTCTGGGGATTTCACCTTTTCCTTTTTTTTTCCTCGTCTCTACTGCTGTAATATATACATACACATATATCCTCTTCCTCTTTTTCATTGTTTCAGTGATTGTGTCCTTCCCCGGACCAGCCTTCTTGGTCTTAGGCTACTCTAAAAACCCACTTCTTTTGGCTGCATGGAATTCGATGAGATCTCGGCTTTCAATCCCGCTGCTCTCTCTCTCTCTCTCTCTCTAGTCCTTGAGAAGTTGCGTGGAAGTTGCATCCATAGGTGTGCAGTATTAAAGTGCAAGCAAACGAAGAAAAGGATATGATTATGGAGTTCTTTCCATTCGATGCATGACCAATGACCATATCTTACAGCATATTCCGAGATAAAGTGCTTGTCGCCTTGTCCCTCCCACGGTTGATGTTCCTGGATCGCACAGCTCGTGTACAACATGTGAAAAGAATGAAACATGACCATCCAAACCTACAGAATTCAAAGACTAAAACTCTTTGAACGGGAGTTTGAATTCCCAGCGAACACGAACGACATAGGTTATTCCCTGTTAGAGATTTGATGTTTGACGATAAATACATGCAATTGAAAGATGGTAGAACAGTCAAAAGATGAGCTCCAGAGTTCTGGAAATCTAATGGTAAGGTCAACATGCCTGACGGCCGAGTTCTTTAGCTGTCACTGCAGCTATCATAGATTTATATGCTCTTCAGCCTCAAGATCAAGAAAGATCAAGAGCACGTCGTAGTAATTGAATTTTAGGTGCCCCTACTGATATATGTCTTTTGGAGATTATTGCCTACACATGCTTCAATTTTCAGGTATATAGATACTAAGTCGTAGGGGAGAGAGAGAGAGAGAGAGAGAGAGAATGACCAGTGATACTGTTATGGCAACAGATCTTACATATAGCTGAAGGACAAAAGATTACTAATCGTCTCATCTTCACTCCATGTTAAGTTGACACTCTGATCACGACAATGGCAGAAAGAAACAACAGGAGGTGAGATGAATGAAAAGAACAAACTCTAACAAGTGGACTAAGAACAAGGCTGTAATTGCTAGATGTGGTCAGGATTGATGAACAAAGCAAAAGAACAATCTCTATCAGATGGCAGGTCTGACAGTAATGATGCGAGTAGATTTCCACCCGAGCCAATCAAGCGCATTACTGTGGTTGCAAGCTCGTGTCAGAGACACCACCATCTTGAAATGGCAAGAAACAAGGGAGGAAAGAAGAAGCACAGAGTAGATTCAAAAGGATACACTATCCTACAGTTAAACATGTTCTTCAGCATGCAGCCACTCTCTGAGTTCTTTCATTTTGATCATGAAGAGAAGATGGGAGACTAACCAAGCGCAATGGCAAGATTTGAGCTTCCAAGGCTTATGGGTAGAGCGAAGGAGTCGAGCCATGGACTGGAAATTACAAGACGTTGCCTGATGAGGAAGAGTTGAAAGCTGAAAGATCTGTGGCCCAATCTCCACTGCTGTCGCATGCCACCCCTGTCACCACCAATTCCAGTATTGCTCGTTTCCCGGAAGACCTAAATAGTGCCTTGGCAGGTTGAGACTCTGAGGGTTGTCTTCCATCTTCACCGGTGACAGCTGCGTGATCAGTGAAGAGCCTGAAAGCTTCGGAAAGACTCGGCCTGCAGTGCTATCCCTCTCGCCTTCTCTGTTGACATGGAACAGCCCAGGCATCAGTTGCACCGCAGGCGGCTGTGGTGGCTCCGATCCTCCCAGAAGATGCAATTGCTGGATCTGCGGCAGCCTCCACTGCTCGATGCCGACGCTCGAATTACTTCCCACGTGGTAGTCAGGTGCGTCCATGGGAGGAAGTCCTGGAAAGTTGAGGCCCAGATTTGAGGCGTCATAGTCGGCCAGACCGTGCATGGAGGCCAAGAAGGGCAACTGGCCCGGCTGGGGTATGCTTGGTGGGATAGCACCGCCGGCACCGGTGGCCATGCACGACGAGGATGAGGTGCCATCCTGACGGTCGGCTGTGGAGGCGGTGGCAGTCGATTTCGAGGAGCTCCCGGAAGACTTATTCCGCTTGTTGCGGCGGCAGCCCCCCCCCACAGGAACGTTTCGGAGAGCGCCGCCTCGGGTCCAGTAGCGTCGACAGGTCTTGCAGAAGTGGCGGGGCTGCGAGAGGGAGTAATTGTTGAAGTAGCAGAACTTGGTGTTGGTGGAGTCGCACCGCGGGCACTTGAGCGGATGCTCGGGCAGCTGGACGATCTTCGCCACGCGTGCTCGTTCCGTCATGGAGAGAGGCCTGGATGAGCCTGCAGCTGCTGCACCAGCTTCCGGCGGCGGTCCTGCCAGCCCCGGAGGGAGCAAAGGAGCCTCACCGCCTCCACCGGCAGCGGCTGGAAGCTGAAGCTGTCGTTGCTAAGCATGCCAGATAGGGAGAAAAAGATTAAGATAGCGAGAAAAGGAAACCGCTGTGGTATATTCGAGAAGAGATAAGAAAAAGGACACGAATATCTTCTCCTTTCAATTTGCTTTTTTGATGAAGAAGCCAATGGATTAGAAGCTCGAAGGGGAAGAAGAAGAAGGTAGTATTAGCACTCACCTGGTTCCAGTTGGGTGGATCCATATAGACCGGAGCAGAGGAAAAATCCATGCTTACTTCTTCTTCTTCTTCTTCTTTCTTCTAATAATTCTTTCTTAAAGATGATAGGAGACAAGAGAAGGTCCAGTTTCGCACATCCACCAATTGACAGAGTGAGAGGAAAGGGGAGGATACAGAGAGAAAGAGATAGCAAGAGAAGAAGAGATGTGGAGGGGAAAAGGATATCTATTTCCTTTGTTCCATGGTGTCTTTGATTTATATATGGTAGGGTTGGGGGAAGAGATGGTTGGAGAGAGTTTCTTAGCCCCTAAGGATCTCAGTGTTGATCAGAGGAGCACTGTTAAGAGGCTACATAAGTGGCTCATGCAGGCAAGAAAAAGGTAGGCATAGAAAAGGATGAGTGCTGAAACCCTAATGGCATGATAATAGAGTTTGGAAGAGCAATGTTACACATTAACCTTTAGTCTTTGCAGATAGTCAACACATTCTCCTTTTTATATGAATGAAAGGAAAGCTTGTCTTGGTGGTGCTCAGAGCAATGTGGTTGCATCAGAAAGAAGGCTTCTCATCCTTACCTTTGCTTCAGAAGCACAGTCTCAGCGTTCATCCCATCAACATCATCTGGCACATATCCATAAATCCATGCTGCACTGAGCTTGAATCTTAGCTTGGATACACGGTGGTCAGCCATAGATGCTGGTGATGAGTTAGGGTTTGAGTTGCCTTGGGCACGAACAGCTTGAAACTGGTGGAATATGAAGTCTTTCTCCCCTCAATATCTACTCTTAACCTCTTAATCTTTAGAGTTGGAAACCGGTGGAAAAGGAAACAAAAAGAAATCAAAAAGTCATTGTATGTGATTCTGAATGGACTCGCAGATTGAATGGCCAAAAGTTGGTGATGGATTCTGAATAATCTTGTTCATGGAACCTGCAATTCTTGTGATAGTGATCTCGGTCATCTATCTTCTCATGGGAGCAGAGAAAGAAGAGGAGAGGGAACATCTGGTGACGAGGATGACAACTTCACAGGCATCATGGCTAAGTAGAATCTGCAAAGATATAGATAGGTTAGAGGCAAAACAAGGTTCTGGACATGTCACTACAGAGTCACATTAGAAGTATACTCCGCTATCGTAGCTTCGCATGCATGCATGCATGCATGCATGCATGAGAACTCCATCCAGATCTCATCTTCTTCCTCGCAGTTCCAGTTTTCCATGGCTCCATCGCACCATCCCTGCGATCCACCAACGGAAAGCTTCAGGAACACACGAGTCGAAGCAAGATCGATGCAGACCAGCGTGACACACGAGCGAGTAGCATCACCCATGAATGAGCGATGGAGTTACGTAAGGGCAGTTGCAGTGGTAGGACACCATTGTCTCGAGAAAAGGATGGGCAACATTGCTACTTGCTCGCGTTGTCGTTTCTCACCACCAATGGCAGCTTTGCATGTCGAGATCACGTCCTCCTTTATCTCCCAAGTGGTCTTCACCCTAATTCCTGATTAGACTGCTTTAAGAGCTTGAATCCACACTTAACGATCGAAAGAATGGACGAATTAATGATCCAGACTTCGATTGTTCAAAGAAAGAAGCGTCTTTGGACATTACCACCGAAGCTTAACGTGTTGTGATCTGACAGGGAAGAACGTGTAACATCAATTATAAGCCAACATGTATGTGTCCACCTCCACCTCCACCTCCTCACAGTAGCACCACTATCATGGCACCACACCACAGCTCCTCCGAGCAGGTTGGGGTGTATACATCTATCTTCGTGGCTCTGTCATCGAGGCAACAAACAATACATGCTCTGAGGAGACATCCCCTGCCATCGTATGTATGATGTATCAAGGCTTTTCATCGTATCATGAATATTTTGGTATGCTGTATAAAAAGATCACCTCCACCTCCGAAAAGGGGGACTCTCCTCTCTTTTCTCCACTATGGGAACAAGGGAAATCGACCTCCTCTTTCTTCTTCCTCCATGAAGACCACTAGAGGACCTCATTTGCATCCTTCCTCCGAAGGACTTTGAATATGGAGCTAATAGGAAGAACTTTTGCGTCCACTTTAGCACAATTTTTTTATTTTTTATTTATTTTAGGCTGATCGATATAATACATTTTGTCTTAAACATAGGAGAAGATTGTCAGTCAAACCTTAACCCTAACTATCTATCATGGGTCGAAACACATAAATGAGATAATGTATATTATAACTAGATCAATAGAATCTCAACCTACAATCGTATGGACGAATGGTGTATACTTGATATATCTCTCTTTTATATGAAAATATACAATAACTTTTAATCAGAAAAGTATAAGAGAGAGTGATATGGTGTATACTTGATATATCTCTCTTTTATGTGAAAACATACAATAACTTTTAATTAAAGAAGTACAAGAGAAGAGTGATTACATTATACATGTAGATGTGTGATATGTTATAGTATCAAGGGAAATGATTTATTTATAATATAATTAAGATGTAGAAATTTTGTATCATGATATAGTATTTATAATATAATTAAGATGTAGTTGATAGAAGATAAGATTTTCCTTATTATAGTTGAGGGAAATCCTTTCTCCTAATCTGTATAAATAGGAGAGGGAACATGTTAATGTATTGAAGTATTTTTCATTTCTTCAATAAAACTTCTTCAATAATTGTTCTTATCTTCTATTCTTTTATTCATGGTATCATAGCAGTGAGAAAAGCGAAGTTTCGCTCTTACCTATGGCCAACGACCAACGTCGTTGAGAAAAGCAAAGCTTTGCCCTTATCTTCGGCCAGCGACCAACGCCGCTGCAGCCATATTCGAAAAGCAAAGCATCGATCCAAGATTGGTATCCTTATCAGGAAATCTCTCTATTCTGTTGAGGAAAATCCTCTATTTTTTCATAATTTGTATAAATAGGAGAGGGAACATGTTAATGTATTGAAGCATTTTTCATTTCTTCAATAAAGCTTCTTCACTTCTTCAATAAAACTTCTTCAGTAATTGTTCTTATCTTCTATTTTTTCATCGGTAGCAATTTTTGAAATTGGTATCATATTTTTCAATCAAATTAATCTGTTGAAATTGAGAGATAAATAAATAATTAGAAGAAACGAAGAGATGATGAATACTCATGAAAAGAAGCTCACATTCTTCACGCCATTTGCCTCACCCAAAAGCTAAACAAGTGGGCATCAAGTATAAAACTTGGCTTAACTAGTCAAAGGTAGAGACCATGCCATCCTCCATTACATTTCATGTTGTTGCATGATTAGGTCAAACTTTATTCCATTTGGGATGATGAGTTCCATATCTTCTATCTTTTACCCGTTCAAATTAGATATATACAATATGAACATCAAGGCCTTCAGTAGTAAACACTGTAAACATTAACTTGGACCTCACCATTTTGTATTGATAGTTCAGACTCATCAAATTAAGAGGTCCTTTAGTGTATATATATATATATATATATAATAGAAGGCTAATCCAAGTCTTCTTTTTCTGGACCAACCACAAGTGTTTTGGTTAAAGCAAAAGGTAGAGGATTAAAGTTGGCATGGGATTCCATTGGATTTTGTCTCTGATGTGACTTCTCTGCTTTAGGGAAACCAGAATGGCCCAGAGAGCCTGTTCTTGCTGTTTGACTGGGAGTTGAAGCATCATAGCTTTGGGGATGTTCTAAGACGAGCTTTGCATTTTTGTGGTGCGTTCATGGCTCAAATGTAAGAGTTACGCCTGTTGAGACATGATCAGAAAAGCTGTTGCGAGAATCTCCTTGTTGTCCAGACTCAGAACAAAAACCGGGCAGAGAAAGTTCTTGCTCAGAATGAAGCAGCAGATCCTCGAGCAAACTCATAAATCTTGGAACTTGCTCCAGTGTTGTTGTTGCCTGCAGCACCAGGATCAGATCCTGAAGAAGTCTTCTTCTTTTGAGGATTCAAAGAGGGGGTTGAAAGCACTGTGTTTGAAGCGAGCTAAAGGAGTGAGAGGTGGAGTCAAGAAAGGAGGGGAAGAGAGAGGGGTCAAGTATGGGGTGTCTGAACGATCGAACGAATCACTCCAGCTCTTTTTGCATCCGGACCTTACATCCTCTGACTCCAAATCCTCCTTGCTCTCCTCGTTAATGGTGAAGAGAAACCTCGGAGGGCCTGCAAGGCTATGGAGCCTCCTGAGCTCAGCCTCCACAGTGTCATCATCTCCATTGCTAGAGCTCGACTGGAGCCGCAGTTGTCCCTCCTCGGAGCAAGCAGCTACGTCCACTGTGGCGGAGATCTCTTGGGGGTTGACTTCAGTGGAACTTGGAACAGATGGCTTCCTCCAGCAGAAGAGATGAAGCAGCTCTCTGGCCCTGCTAGAGCTCGAGTGGAGCTGCAGCTGCAGTTGTCCCTCCTCGGAGCAAGCAGCTACATCCACTGTGGCGGAGATCTCTTGGGGGTTGACTTCTGTCGAACCGGGAAAAGATGGCTTCCTCCAGCAGAAGAGATGAAGCAGCTCTCTGGCCCTGCTAGAGCTCGAATGGTGCTGCAGCTGCAGTTGTCCCTCCTCGGAGCAAGCAGCTACATCCACTGTGGCGGAGATCTCTTGGGGGTTGACTTCTGTGGAACCGGGAAACGATGGCTTCCTCCAGCAGAAGAGATGAAGCAGCTCTCTGGCCCTGCTAGAGCTCGAATGGTGCTGCAGCTGCAGTTGTCCCTCCTCGGAGCAAGCAGCTACATCCACTGTGGCGGAGATCTCTTGGGGGTTGACTTCTGTGGAACCGGGAAAAGATGGCTTCCTCCAGCAGAAGAGATGAAGCAGCTCTCTGGCCCTGCTAGAGCTCGAGTGGAGCTGCAACTGCAGTTGTCCCTCCTCGGAGCAAGCAGCTACATCCACTGTGGCGGAGATC